GGCGCCCGCCCCCGCCCCCGCCCCTGACCCCCACGCGGCCCACCACCACCACCACCACCACAGCGGGGGCCACAGCCACTTCACCCTCACCCAGTACGACGCGCGGACAGGGGAGGCGATGGTGATGTGGGCGATGGTCCTCCTCGCGGCCTCCTCCGTCGTGTGCAAGGAGATGCTCTTTAGGTGGTCAAAGCGCGTGGGCGAGAGGGCGAGGTCGCGGGTGGTGGTGGCGAACGCCTATCACCACCGCGCGGATGCGTGGAGCGGGGCCGTGGCGCTGGTCGGGGTCGGCGGGCAGATGCTCGGGATCCCCGGTGTGGATGGCGTTTCTGGCCTAGTCGTCTCCATTTCGGTGTGCAAAATGGGGTATGGGCTGCTGCGAGATTCCATTCTTGAGTTTTTTGACAATCAAAAATCAGAGGACATCGCGCGCGTTCGTAAGCAGCTGATGAAGTTCTACGTCTACTTGGAGGAGAAGGGTAAATTGAGATTGGAGATTAGTGAGTCGGACGTGGATGGGGAAGAGGATCTGACCCAGGGTAAACTCCTTTCGTCTGTTGTCGGGAGTACGACGCGATCTGAGCCTCCGTCCGTGTCCGCCACGAACAAGCAGTCCCCCCTGCAACGAAGCTCCGATCAGAATAAGATGCGCTTCGTGAACGTATTTTTGACGCGTCACGGTCGCTACTACGTTGTGCACCTGAAGGTTTTGCTGCGGGATAACTTCACCGCACTCCAGATTCAGACGGCTCTCTCAAAACTGAATGCGTATATCTCTCAAAGTCTTTCAATCCAGGATGTTTTCGCCTCTGTGCAGGTATGCAGTGATACGGCCATCTCACGGAACGAGTACATCGAACAATACAAGCATGATCATATTGGAGAAGAAAAAAAAGCGGAACAAAAAGACACGGAAGTCTATATTGCCGCTCAAGGCGATCTTGTGAATCCAACACTGGAGGATTCCCTGCATATGCTTGTAGATTTCCACTCGTTTACACACGGAATCCTTTATAACTGGGAAAAGCGTGAGATTTACGTCTCGGTCAAGGGACCGACTGACTGCTCACGCGACGTAGAATCTGTCGCAAAGATGTTTGGCTGTAAGCTCGTCGAAAGAGATATCAAAAACCATAAATGAAAACCGAACACCTACCCCATAGCTTCTGACAACAGTTACATATTGAAGGGGGTCAGAAAAGAAAATATGTCATAGAGTTTATATATATATATATATATATTTTGGATTTGTGGAAAAAGTACTAATGATAATGTTTCTGATATCATTTCTAGTTGCTTACTTGTTAGGAATTAGTTGACTTTATTATTCACAAATCAACCATCCCGATATATACATTCAACGCTGCATATCAACTAATCATCTTTTTTTAAAAAAAATGGATATGTATATTGGAGCTTTTGACAGCTGTGGAAAAGAATTATTTTTATGTTGTGATAGTGGGGTTTTTTTACAATAACTCATCTCATCTATACCCATACAAATCTATAAAGATTACAAGATTCCCATACTCATTGTCAGTACATCCTGTCGCTAATAACTATGGTTGAGATGTAAAAATATATGTTATCGAATTCCTTTCTAATCCCTGATTGGCAATAACGACATCATGCTGAATATGGAATTAGTCTGAGTCAATTGTTGCTATTCACACCTTACCATTTGATATTATTACTTTCCCATTATTTCGCAACTTCTGGCGAGGCTTCCCTCGGTAAGCCATTCGCACAAGGGTGTTCCATCTTTGCATCCATACTTACTGTTGTGCTCCCTTCCTTGTAGTATCTTTAGTTTTAGCCTACAGTGCGCGACACCCCCATGAGTGACGACTTCTTCGACTTCGATGACGAGTTCGGCGTGGATGACGGCCACTTCTTCGAGGACGCGGCCCCGGCGAACGGGGGGGGGAGCCCCGCCCCACGCCTTCGCCCCCAGCGAGCCCAACGCGTGGGCGGACGACCGGGGCCTGGACACCTCCCTCCCTCCCCCCCCCCCCTCCTGGACGTCCGGGGCTACCTGCCGAATGTCACGGAAGGGGCCTTCCCGGTGGTGGTCTCCGTCCTGGCCCAGGCCAGCCTCGGGGTCGGCGTGGACCTCCGCACGCTGAGCTGC